GGTTTTCGGTTATTCCGGTTCCCTGGATTTATTGCGCCAAAGCTCCCATTCAAGATGGTGTGACCAAGGTTACAGATCTTCCTGAGATTTTTCAAACAACATATCGATATCTTCCTAGAAAAAAAAAATTTATGAAATTATGAAAAGGTGCAGATAAAAAATGACAATTATGAAAAATAAAATAATAATAAAAAATCAAAAATAAAAAAATAATAATAATGAAAAATTTTAATTTATTGAATTTTTTATAATTATTTTATCAGGTCAATTCTATACCATTTCATTAGTATTCGATATATGAATTTCTGTCGGGACCAACGGCCTTGGCATCATTATAATAGATGCATTCCACAAACTTGCGTCATGTTCAGGCTCATTTTCATCTTCATCTTCAAGTTCTTCTGAATTTTGACGCTGTTGCCTTCTTCGTGTAATAGGACTCCAATAATGATTTCTTTCTCCGATGCACCTTATTCTTATGCCATGTCAATCCACAAAAAGTGAGAAAAGTTCTTGAGCAAATAGAGCAACAATGTGTCATTTTTCTAATAGGGACTTTTTAAAATAAATAAAAATAAAATAAAATAAAATAAAAAAATTGAGTAAATAACTAATAAAAAAAAAAATAGAAATAACAAAATTGAGTAATCTGGCAAATTATTAACTCAGAAGATCAGTAAATATGCAGCAAAACGTATACCACTATTTTAGCAAACATCACTAGATCAAAGACATTATGTAATCGTGTGCTCATTTAATTAGGCATCAGAAAATTAAAGAGTTCAAAAAACAATTTTTTTTAGATTTTCATAGTGTCATCGTGGGAAGTACTTAGTTAAAGGGGATCGATTGGATTTCTGAAATAATAGGAAGGAGGTATATTATGAATATTATTAGTACAAAAGTAATAATAATAATAATAATAATAATAATCTGATACTTGTCTTTGATCTAGGAAGGTTCGAAACGAACGAATTGTCGTGTACACGTGATGGGATCGAAGACAAGATCAATTATGAATTATGCAATATTCGATACCACAAAATAGAAAAATTAAGTATCAAAAATCGTATAATATAAAAGTATATAATCTCTAAGAGTCAAAAATAAATTTATGATGCAATAATATGGAGTCAAAATGACTATATAAGTAAAGCAAAATTAAGGCTTTTTTTGAGCGAATAATAAAAATCAACCATAATAAAGGGATTTTACCTTTAATTCTTTTACTAGTTCAACTGTTCATGCTCATCATTTGAGCAAGGTCCAATTAGTGACTTTGCTACTAATATAACTGCAATAATAACTTTCTAAAAACTCTATCTTCATGAGTGGCAGAGGAAAGAAATATAAAGAAAAAGCTGACCTTACTGGGACAAATCGGGTGGAAGAAACAGCTTCTGGTCAATCCATTTTTCGGAATGGTGTTGTGTAATAATAGTAATATCTTCGATTAATAATAATAGTATTATTATTATTATTATTATTATTATTATTATTATTATTATTATTATTATTATTATTATTAAGATTATTTCTTTTTGATAAATTTATTAGAGTCAAACAAAACATCACCGAATATCGAAGGTTCCACGTCAACCAGAACATCATCTGTGACTCAAGGTTCTAATTCTGAAAGAATAACTATCCCTCCCCTAAAAAGACAAAAAGCCCTTTCCTTTGCCGATGAACCAGTTGGTAATCCTCTACCACCTACAGATAAAGAATCTTCCATTAGTGTTTCACAACAAGATGATGATGAATTATTATGTTTGTCCCAAGAATCCTTCCTTTCAAGAACTTCAGGGCAATCACGCGATTCCTTTTCTATGAGCTTAGATGAAGGGCTTTCTAATTACTCTTCCACAGAAAAAACAAGTTTGACAACCGATGAATTTAATTATACCATAAAATTATTGGACCAAAGGATCAATGCTTTGTACCAATTGTGTCGGTTTATAGTAACCAAACAGAAAGAAACGTCTAAAAATATTAAAAAACTTCTTGCATTTGATGAGCTTTCTGACAGTTTCTGGAATAAGGCATACAAAGAAGTTGCAAAAGAACTAATACCGAAAATTTTATATCCTTCTACAAAAGAATATAGAATTGCTTTGGAAAGATATTTAAATGACCACGCTAATCATTTTATTGGTTCAATTGGAAGAAATGCCTGGATCTCTTACTTTACAGAGAAACTTTTGCCCGAAGTATACTTTATGCCACTTAATATTGTTTATTTTTTTTTTTTTAATAAATGAGTGCCGCCAAGGAAAACCTTTTAATTATCTAATTTATTAGAGATTGTGTCTGGTAAAAAATATAATCGAAAGTCCGATGACAGTTTTTCCCTTGGTGGTACTCAATCTAATAACTGAATCGAAACTTATCGATTCATATTTGTTTATTCACTGGCAATTTTTTTTTTTTTTGGCTAATTTTTGGGGTTTATTATTTTCTAGGTAAAAAATAAATGCCGCATTAAAAGAAATGATTTAGCCTCCGCCATCCGCAGCGCTGTTTTTACTGTCTTTAGCGAAGAACAGCTTGAGATGGTGGATAATACTATGCCCTCTGCGAAACTTGCCGAGTGGAAGACTTCCGAGAAAACTCGTGCTGCTTATAATTTGCTTTTTGAAAATAACGAATTGATCATCTCTATTTGTTACTCAGCTTTTAAACAATTCCACGGCAAAAATCTTTCTCCAATGCATTGTGCCTATACTATGGCAATTTGCGATATTTTGCTAAATCCCAAAAGTTCTAGTATAAAATGCTCTGATAAAGCAATTACAAGACGAGTTCGTGCCTTTATGGTATCATTTTTATTCTTGTTTACGAACTGTCATCTAGAGTTTAATACCTTATATACTGTGTCATGTGATATAATGTGACATAGGATAATCCGGATGATAAAAACAGTTTTTTTCACTCAAATTGGTAATTTTTTTGCATAATCTTTATTTTTTAGGAAGCATATGAAACAAAGCAATCCATCTCTCAAGAGACATTTGCAGAGATCGCTCTAAAAGAAGAAGAGGCCGCCATTGACAAAAAATCTAGAAGAAAATCAAAAACTGCTGATTCCACCGAAGAAGAAATTGAAGAAGAGGAAGAAGATTATGATAATTTAGTAATTATTTCTTTTTTATTTATAAATTTTTTTTACATTTGGGCTAATTTTTTTTTTTGAAAAAAGGTCTCGGAATTCGATTCTGTATTCAATAATGATTCGTTCCCCAAAGATTAGTAACAGTTTTATATCCGATATATCAGTAGATTTTTGAAATATATTATTCCAGCTTATAAATTTTTGCACAAACAATATTACATGCTTATTTGTATTAGCTTAGATGACGAATTTTTGAAAAAAAAATTGTATTGAAATTTGAATGTTACAAATAATGTAATGAAAAATCGAATACAATTGATAGTTGTAAAGAAATTTCATACAATGTAACTAGGGTGTGCGACATGGCAAAAAAATTTGGCATGATAATGCGTAACTCCACCCAGTAAGATTTACAAGCATACAAATACAGAAATTCCAGAAAGTGATATCTAATCAGATGCAAAGAATAAACCGCATCATTTCACTCACCGTTAAACCATACTCTTCATTGCGCTTAGTTTCTGGTATTTTAACTTAGGATTTAACATACAAGAAATAAACCAGATTTCTAACTTCACGCAGATATGATCAAGGTTTAAAATAGAAAACTCCTACGATATAATCAGTGTTGGCAAATAGAATAGAACAAAAGCTCAATTTTTTGTCTTGATATAAAAAAAATATTTTATTAATAATTTGCAATTATTTAAATATATATTGTTAGAGCATTAATATAATAATAAATTTAAAATATTTTTATATTTATTAATTACAGTTAATTCTCTCTAATCCGAACCTCTCTAATCTGAACACTATTAAATTCTCTCTAAGCTGAACAAAAAACTCTAGAACATTTGTAAATTTTATTATAGAGTTCAGATTAGCTAACAATAACTCTTTGAGAACTGAACCTAAAAAATTTTTTATATGTAAAAATTCTTAAAGAACATTTTTGACAGAATAGAGAGAGTTGACTGTAATAAAGTTTAATACTGTACTACAAATTCCCAATAGAAAAATAAAAAAAAGTGTACACCAAAAGAACAAACATAGTAAACGTGACAACTCTGGATATAATACACGAATTGATAATACAGGTAGAACTAAGAATAAAACAGGTAAAAAAATCGCGATGACAAACAAGAAAAATTAAATATAATGTATATGATTTTTTGATCACGCATGAGCAAAAAAACGCATAAATATCGATATAGAAACCCCAAATCGAAGTCACGAGAATAGATCATCCAACACTTTGCCAGTAAGCCATACTCTTCATTGCACCCCATTCCTTGTATTGCACGCATCATTTCAGATGTCGTTAACTATGCTCTTCATTGCATTCCATTTCCTAGTAAACAGAAAGTCTATGCTAGTATAAATAGAAAATTTGTGCGAATACGCAATTTGGAGTACTTACCTGACATTCGAATGGTTAGTAGTGAAGATCCAGAAGGTTGTGGTCGTAAGGTCAATCTTGGTGATGTGCCAAAGAGAAACACTAGTGGAACGAACAATCTCAGATTTCGTTATAATGAGGGAATAGACGTTAAAAAGGATGAATGCAAGGCATTTCATGAGGGAAGGAAATAAGTTGTTTGATCATTATCGAAAACCCATTGATACACGTGATGTTGATGCTAACTTATCTATCTTCACGCATCTCATTGGACATAGAAATTTATTCACATTTTGGGGTATTTCATAAATTCATATACGCTAAGTTAGTTTGAAATACTTTACAACTTGAGTTTATTTCAAAAGTGTATTTAGAATCAACTTATATTGACTCTAAATCTACCAAGATTCCATTCCACTATAAAACATTATTAAAAATTCTTTATATTAATTTGAAGTGAAATTAAATAGGAATGAAAATTTTATTGGATTAATAAATTTTTTACACTTATTGCACTATTAGATTAATAAATGCTCATATATTCACATATTATATTATCTCAATTAACATTTTAAATATGTAAATTAATCAATAATTTATATTCATCTTTTACGCAAGCAGATTAGTATCGATAAGTAACGGTATCGATTTGAATCCCCCTGCCGATTTATATCGAATATGATTATAATCGATATATAACCAATAACGATATCAATCGATATATATCAGTGATCATTACAAATAGATATCATACACTTGTAGCAATAATAAAAATAACCGATTTTAATTTATTATTAACCCGATTTTTATTGATTAAAAGAAACCAAATAATTTTTGTACATTTGCAAATTTGTTACATTTCGACCCTCATAAAAATCCAACCATCAACTACAATCACTATAGGACGACTTTATATCGACACCTTTCGTTTTTTCGTCGACCCAATGTTGAGATTCCAGTATTCAAGTTTTAACGTTCTCTAACGAAGCAATAAAAAAAAAAAAAAAATGAAACGAAACAAAACTATGAGCTGGTACTTATATTCATTCCAGTTCTATTTCCTTTTCGGTCGAGATCTCAATTCCCCAGGTTCCAAATCACCGTTCCCGACTCTCTTTAGCCACTCCCGGCGAAGCACTACTCGCAAAAAAAAAAAAGAAAGAATTTATTAAAATAAACTCAAAACAAGAAAACCAAGAAAAACCTCGAAGGTGGCACTTATCATCCAATTTCCCAGCGGGTTCTAAATCACCATTCCCGATTCTTTTTTACCACTCCCGGAGAAGCATTACCCAACAAGAAAAAAAAAAGAAAAACTTCGAAGGTGGTACTTATCATCCAATTTCCCACCGGGTTCTAAATCACCGTTCCCGATTCT